TTATTGTGTGTGTGTCTGTGTGTGTGTGTAGGTGACGTAATTTAACCAGCCTTATTGGACAAACATCTTTCAAATAGTTTGGCACCACTTCGGTTGGAAATAACAAATTAGAGAATTGTGTTTGGCTTTCAGCTGCCAGTGTGTGGAGAGGGAATGATCCTGAACAAACACATAAAGTGAACAAACTCTTTATCCAACACAAAGATGTATGGTGCAATATATATCTCTGGATAAATGGGTGAAAGTGTTGCGAGGGAACTGAGAGGGAGTGTGTGTGTGTGTGTGTGAGAGAGTACTTGTTATAAATTACAGTGTGGAGACATGAATATCTTTACATAGTCACATTGTGGGGACTCCACTCTCATTTGAAGATAATAAGCTGGTCCCTCTCATGGTTAAGCGTTAAAGCTGCACTAATATATATATTTTTATATTAACAATTAGATCAAATAACTCACTCGTAATGACGCAGCGAGTCTTTTAGTCTATTTTGGATCATTCGTTTTACAGTCTGCAAACTCTGTTCTTACCACCTTTGTTTCCACCTGCAGTAGGAAAAGCTCTGACAAATCGACTGTACACTATACCAGCCCAGCACCAAACGGTAAAAACACACAAAGTTAATGACTAGTTGGTGAAAATAGTGAAGCATCAAGCAAGCTCCATATATTTCTTAGAGGAAAGTAAATATTGAATAATAATAATAACTTTATTTATGTAGCAGCTTTTAAAAAGAGAGTTTATAAAGTCATCAGATGAACAGAAAAAGGACACCAAATGAATGCTTATGTAATACTGGGCGACATGCCACATGAACCAGTATACTGGTTTTAATTTCCTGTATATTTATTCTTTATATATACAGCCATACTGGCGCATTAGCTGAAGCAACTACTGTGACTCATTTGTTTCTTATTTGTGCAATTTTAAAAATATCGCTTTGAATACTTAAATACTTTGAGTAGTTATTTAGTTTATAGTGTTAATACAACTAATTAATTTTTTTTTTAAGTTCTGTTTTTACTACGTTGTAGGACTATAAATCTATATAAAGCCCCATTAATGCAAAAAAATCCACAAAACATGATATTTAATCTTAAAATATACTGTGAAACAACTTTTTGCTTATACTGTACAGCACTAATTAAG